TACAGGCACGCCACAGGACCGGTGGCCCCTGTCTAGCGTTGCCGCTCGGGGGACCACGACTGCGAGCTTGTTCTTTTCCATGGTGGCTTCCAACAGGCCATTGGCGTGCAGGCTAGCCCTGCCGACGATCGGTCAACCCCTCTGGAGCGGCGCTTTTGGTTTCGGTCGTTGGTGGTATTTCTGGGATTGCAGCGTGGCGGACAAACGTGGAGCTAAGCGCGAGTTGTGACAGCCTGTTGCACCAATTGGTGTGTAATGATAAAAAAAAAAAAAAAAAAAAAAAAAAAGAGAGCAAGAGAACAATAACGAGAGGAGAATGCAGAGCAGGCATCTGCGGCCTTGCCTCTTGCCTCTCGGCTGTCATCCCTGAACCCGGCTCTCGGCTCGAAAGTCCCTGGTTGGACGACCCAGCACGCCCCTGCCTGCCTCGCCCGAGTTGAGTTGCGAGGTTGGGGAACAAGGTAATTCAACGAGCATGACAGGCGGCGGACTTGACCTTCCCAAATTGTCGCCGTAGGGCTGAAGCGAGACGATGGCTTGGATGGGGGAACGAGACATTCGATCGGGGTTCTAGCCCGGCCAGGCAGGTAACAAAGCGTGCCATGGTGGGTGAGAGCGCGCAACTTGCACTCGCAGGTCTCGTCGCTGTTGCGCGATGTACGCGCCCCCGGAATCGATTCGAGGAAACAGGTCCAAAGTCCATCGTTGACACAGGGAGGTGTCGGGAGCCGGCTCGGCTGTTTACAAGCAGGCAGCGCTCGACAGCCTCTGATCGCTGGTTGTCGGATGGTCTGCTGCTCGGAGAGACAACGCATAGCTCCGTCGTGTCCTTAGTGGCCCGCCCCTCCCACGTCCGTCGGACGTGTTGACACTTGAGAGGGGAACAGGATGTGGTGCCCGTGACGCTGTGTGCCAGCCGACGATGAAGGTTCTGCTCAGAGCTGCACCATGCGGTAGTTCTTCGGACTGGAACTCATCTGACCGCAAGAAGCAAAGAGCGGAAGGGACGATTGCCGAGGCCAAGGCAAGACTTGAGCATGGAGGAGGCAAGAGCGAGGGGCCAGAGCAAGATCTTTCAGCTGTCCGCGAGCCGTGGGAAAGTGCTTCCCGGGGCCTTATTCGCTGTTGGGCCTGCTAGCGCAACGCCGACCATGTTAGGGCGACGCCTGTCATTCGAGCCATCGAAAGCCCTGCAAGCCATCCAGCTCACCTCTTACCTCACCTCACCTTGCCTCGCTCACTTTGCCCACCTCATGGAGCCGGCAAATGAGAGGATGGCCGACCAGATGCGGCTGGCGGAAAAAAAGCAGGTTAGTTAGTGCCTGCCTACTCCTTGCTTCGCCGTTGCATCCTTTGCCTGGTTCTTGGCTTGGATGAGGCAACATCCGTACAAGTACTTGAATCCCACTGTGGCTGGCGTGGTCTCGTGCGCGGGCTTCTTGTCACTATCCCATGTAAAGAACTGACCCATCACTCCCATCATGCCCATCCTATCCTCCCCACATCATCCCGTCTCATCTCTGGAAGACGTCGCATCCTAGTGAGGCCGCTTACCCGTTACTGCACTGATCGGCCACACACCGTCCCTGGCCCCTTCGTCACGCTGAGCCTCGTCACTGCCCTGGAACCTTTGGGCCCATTTCCCGCTTCTTGGGGCGGTCCTGTTGCCCCTGAAGCCGCTCCGCTTCCTCAGCAGCGAATCACCGTCTCGACTCTTCCAGACTCCTCCCTATTGTCGTCTATTTGCCCCCAGCCCTCCACACCTCTCAGCTCGACGCGCAAGACACCACGAAGCCAGTCGGGCGTGCATTGTTGGGTGCCAACGCGATACGATGGCGAGGCACAGCAATCTCTGCTATCAGGGTCCCTCGATCAAGCGAGCCAAGGCCCAGTGCTGCCGGGGATGAGAGAGGCTAAGCGAAGCTTTGTTAACAACACCCTCTCGTGTCTTTGATCTCGTACATTACCATCGGTTATCCGCAACACGAATCTCAACCCCTACCCAACATCACTTCCGGGTCATACGCAGGCACACACAGCGCGCAGCATCCTCACTTTTCTCCAGAACCTGTTGCCACTCGGCTGCCGAGGCCATGTCAGGGTTGTCATCATCATCGAGGTAGCCTGCTACCGGCCATGTCGCAAGGATGACGACCACTTTTTCCATGATATATATGCGAGTCATGCCACAGCATGCATTTGGGTGAATACCAGCCAAGCTCGGTCACGGAGTTTTCCGCAGTTTCGTGAGCGCATACATGGACACTCTATCAAAAATAGACATGGGGGAAAAGGCCATGTCGATTTCGTAGCGACTCTACCTGGCCAAATTGAATCGAGCCACCTGCACGTCACGAGCAGCTCTTCTCCACTCGACCATGCGTACACCAATGCAGACCATGCCGCCGAACACACCTCAGGCACAGGCAACAAATACGAACAAGCTGGGCAACCGAATTTGGGGTCGCGGGTGGACCAGAGGAGCATCACATCACCAAGACCTCCACGCCTTGCATGAAATCCTGCATCCCGAGCCCGCTCCCACTTACTGTCACCGCCACTCTTGGAAATTGGCCAACCGCCCGACTACTCAGCCACCAAGCCGCTGCATCCTTGATGATGATCGCCTGCCCCTCTCCGATCTCTGATCTGAGGCCGTCTCAGCCTTATGGGAGACCCTGGCCGTCGCTCTGTATCGCGTCAGCACGTTAATCCTTTTGCATTCATTAGTCTTTGACCATGCCCATGCTTTTCGATTGCTATTGGCTCTATCGTACGGCTGGCAGTGTAACGTGAGCATGCTGATCACGTCGACCCTTGCCATGTCTGGCGCATGGGCAACAATTTGACTTGGGAGCCGGATTTCTCGGTTTCCGTCTATGGCGTCGGTCTTTCAGCCCGCCACAGTCGGCCATTTTGCTCCCTTGTCATGTTCTGTGAATCCACTCAACGCGCGAGCCTTGCTGAATCGTATCCAGGTTCTGAGCTTTGGGGGCCGACCCATCGAATGCTATGTCTGATCATCGTTGTTTCGTTGGACCGCCACCAAGTGGGTGAAGAAACACAGCCGTGCCCTCGAGTTCAACAACGAAGAACGCCAGGAGTTCTTGACATGCTCATCAGTGAGCACGTTGACGTGAGAGGCCAGTTTACGGGACGTCCAGAATCCCATTTCATGCTTGTTGGCTCCTTTGGCTCCAATCAATATGCAATGCCATCCTTCTCTGATGTATCGACCCCGGGTTGAGCAAAATGCGCACCTGATTCGCTAACGAAATCGCAAAGATCAACGTCGCTCTGACGCAACTCTGTGCTTCCACCAGGATTCCCTCCTTCACCTCGCAACCCAGTTCCTTGAAGTTGGCCATGTGCTGTTGTTGTCGTGATTGCAAGATGTCCTCGATATGCACTAAAGCTAATTCTGAACCTCTGTCTGTCCTGTGACGACCATCTGATCAAATGCGTGAAAAGCCGCAATGAGAAAGGTCAGGGTGGTGGATGACCCTCAGGCAAATCGATCCTCTTGACTCGCTACCATGGGTGCATAATCGGTGTCATGCACACAAGGTCCTTTAACGAGGCTATTGGACAAGACCAATCGTTTCCTCGGTCTTTCTGGCGCACCGCGAAGACAACCGAGTATCGATTCATAGCATCAGTGAAACGCCTGGAAGGACGGGGTTGGCTCCGCAACTGGGAAGTCATGTAGCTATGCGGCTCCAATGTACTGGCTGTGGCAGCAACTAGACCACGTTCGGTGGAGTTCAGCCAGCCTTCAGAGTCACGCGTCCGCGGCTCCCAGCCCTTCTCCGCTTCGTCCAGGCCAGCATTGCGACGCCATCGATCTCCACGATGATGACCGGCGGCTGATGCATGGCGCACAGGCCCAGCTCACCCGTGACGGATGACCACAGGGCAGCTTCCGTCTCAATGCTTTCCGAGTATCTACACCGCAACGGAGACTTCTACATCGCCTCTCCTTGTCCATGGCGTTGCATCCTTGCATGACATGTAGCGCCCAAGATACAGTCAGCCAGTGAACATCCGGGGCGGTTTTCCGCCGTGGCTCACAGGCTAGGCGTAGAACCGGTATCGCTTCCAGCAGCGGGGCATCAGGCGGAGGTCGGGTCACGAACAAGGATTGCTTGCACAACGACGCGCCCAGGTGTAAGAGGAAAATGTGTAGCAGAGAGTCGCTGGGGCCAGGACGCTGGTTCCCCCCAGCCAGCTAGCGCGATGCGTGGGATCGTGCCGTCTTATCTGCAAGGACGGGGCACTTCACGTCTGTCGATAGTCAGCCGCCAGGTGGCTCTCAGGACTTTGGGAAATACGCCAGAGAAACGCGGATGAGCAGCACATGACCGTCGCAGTGCGCGGACCTCTCCATGCTAGATAGAGCCACGCCCTTTCACAGTATCAGTAGCGAGTGAAATTGACGACGAAGCCAACTTTCCCCCGCAGGCAACTGATTGGTGGCTGAAGAATTGTAGATTACTCAAGGCCGTACCCATCCTCCAGAACGGAGACGTGGGAAGAGGATGGATTCTTCCAAATTCATAGCGTTGACCTCTTTTACTTGAGATCGAATAGCAACAATGCGGCACAAGCTGTGCCGTCCGCGCGTTTGATCCTCAAAGTCCCTTCCAACGCCTCGTGAACAACAACAGGAGACCCGGTCACCTCGAAAAGGCGGACCTTCAGCGTCCTCCAGCTACCATGTATTGGAAAAGAAAAGAAAAGGAAAGAAACAGGTAGACCGCCGTGGCGGTCAATTGCCGCCGCATCCGTTACGCCCCATTATACCAACCGAAGAAAACAAAAGACGGCAGGCGGAGATCCAACCGCCATGACCTCGGAAGGCTTCATAATACACATAGGTCTTCGCGTATAGACAGACGCTCCTCCACGGAGAAGATCCCCCAAGGGGTCACGAATAGTCAGACGCCTGCGAGGGACGCTTGTACAGCGTCAGGCCGCCGCCGCCACCACTGCTGACCGCATCATATGGCCAGGCCCATGCTGACGTCAACCGGCTCGACACCCGCGCCTTGCATATCGCCACTGATGTCGTGGTCCTCCTCCATCATGTCCACGAGGCTGTCGAGATTGCTATCGAGGTTCTCGGCGTCCTTAGGGTCGAGACACTGCCGAAGTAGCCGGCGGTACTTGTCGACATTCTCGCCGATACCCACCATGCTCAGGGCATCGACGTAGTCGGCCTCGGACTGGCGCAGCTCGTTAACCGACGCGTGCAGCTTCAGAGCGAGCTCGAGACGCTCTTCGTAGGAACCGTCGGTGACGTCGCCGTTGAGGAGGCTCAGCTCCTGGTCCACGTACTGCTGGATGTGAAGACGATTCTGGTTTGTGATGAGGGACACGACCTGGTGCTTGGCGAGATTGGCCTCGCTGGCGATCTTGGCGGCGTCCTCGTCGGCTTCGGCCTTTGCATCAAGCTCGGCAATCTGCTGCTGGATCTTGCTGAGCTCGGCCTGATTGGCGGCGATGGCCCGGCGGGCGTCGCGCTCGGCATCGACTTTGGAGCGCAGCTCCTCGTCGTAGCTAGCAGAAAGGTCGCTGAACTTTTCAAAGATCAGGGGCGCGATGCGCGAGTGGACAGAGTTGGCAGCCTCCGAGTCGTAGGAGAGGTTGGGCTTCGACGGCATCTGATCCGTTAGGGCGTCTCGAAAGGAGACGTGTCGATGCGACTCTGGGCCAAACGGCGATGACGAGCGGTGGGGCCCGCGCTGTTCCTTCTTGGAGGCATTCAGGTCTCTAATCAGATCCTCGGCGTGGACGCCATCGGCATTTGGGATGTTGGTTGAGGCATTACGTCCGAGCAAGGCACGGATGCATTTGCGGGCATTCCTCTCGGCGGCTAGATGCAGCGCCGTGTTGCCTTCGTGATCCTGAGCGTCAATGAGTTGCTGGATGAATTGGGGATCGGCGGCCTCTTGCAGCTTGGTAAGGATGACCTCGAGGTAGTACCGAGCGCAAGAGTGGCTGGTGACGCGGCCGTTCTTCATGGTGGCGGCGTGGTGGATGACGGTAGCACCGCTATGATCTCGGAGGTTGATTGTGTCAAACAGCTCCCGGACAATCATCGGGAAGGTCTCCTTGTCATAGCAATTCGTAAAGTGAACGGCCCTCATGAGCGGCGTCTCGCCGCGAACGTTGAGTACGGCCAGATCCGCGTTGAAACGTTTCAGTTGCTTGATGACTTCGACATCGCCCATCGCCGCAGCCCAATGTAGCGCCGTGTGACTCTCAGTGTCGATGACCCAGTTGGGTAAGAAGTTTGGTGGTGGCTCCGGTCGATGCGCTGGTTTCTCGTTTCTAGAGAGAAGGAAGTAATCCAACAACTCATCTCCGTATACGGAATGTTGTTGCTGTGTCATGTCCTGGATCGCAGCCTCGTCACGTTTTCTCTTTCGATGACCAGTTGTTGGTTGCTGTTGCTGCGACAAGTCAAGGCGATCATCCTCGCCCATGTATGAGGCGGATGCAATTGTGATATTGTCAGGGGTATCATCATCGTGCATCATCGAGTCGCCTGCGTCAAACGTTTCTTGACTGGCGGTGGGAGCAACTGAAGCCAGGGTCTTAGCCTTTGCCAACAGGGCATTCGAGGCAGGTTGAGAGGCTGGCTTACCTGGCCACTTTGGCACAGCTGGTCGTTTTGGTGCCTTGGGTTTGCTTGTGTGACGAGGGGCAGGTGGCGGGCTTTCGTTGCCTGGAGTGTACTCGAAGATGGGGTGTATGCGGTCGTAGCAGTTGTTGCGCTGGGCAAGCTGCTGGCCTTGGTTGAGGGGGATCCAGGTACCCTGATATTTTCCGTAGCCACCCTGCACCTTTTCGTGCTTCTCCTTCTGCACCTCGCGCTCCAGAATTCTGGTGCGCGCCGGCTTGTCAAAGCCTGCGGCCTTCAAGATATGTGTTGCATTGATCCAGTTGTCCTGCCGCCGCCGCATCACATGCTCTTTCAGGTCATCGCCAAATTGGAACTCATACACAGGGACCTGTAGGCAACATGGGTCAGCCAAATCCATGAATGATAAAAGAACGCCAAGGTATACAGTGCAGAGGAAGAGGGAAGGCAAGGTTGAAGTTGCCATTTACCCCTCGTGGGGTCGTTGGATACTCATTTGTCCGCCCCAACTGCTGTAAGCGCCGTGTTGGTTTCACACATCAGGCAACGACCCTGGGGCGGCCTTGTAGGGTTCATTAAGGGGAACGAGGGCGCTGAGAAAGCAGAGGAGGACATACACCACTATATGTCGCGCTGTAGATGCCGCTTTGCGCGGGGGCAGCAGCTGGACCTTTGGCCATCGTGAGGAAGGCGCAGAGGGACACAGCCCTCTATCGTCGGGTCGGGGTCTCAGACCGCGAGGGTCGGTCGCCAGAGCAAGTTGGAAGTTACCAAGGGGGAAGGAAAGAGAGTGATAGAGCTGCTGGTCGCACTGCGCGGGAAAGACAGTAGTACCATGTGAAGTCGGTGACGATACTGCTGGCAACAGATGAATCGCCGAGACTGGGGTTGTCGGAAGTCGGTCGGTTGGCAGAGGAATTGTGGAATGGACGCGAACAAGACGCGAGAGTGGAATTGGCGACGCGTAGGACAAGGCAGGCACTTAAGCTTCATCACGTGTAGCGCACGGGCCATGGTATGAGGGGAAGACCAGCCGTCGATGTGCTGTGGTCCCTGGTGTACCTTACCTAGGACTAAGGTACCTATCTTAGGTACCCAGGCAGGTAGGTATATCCAAGTTGAACCATTGGCCTTGGTGTGAAGACTGTTGGCATGTTCAATCTTGCACAGCTGTGCACGACGAAATGTCGCTCGGTCACAGCCCCATGATGACTCGATGCTAATGCTAAAAGCCAGTGGTTTGCACCGCCGGTGGTGTTTGAACACAGCAGAGAGCAGCATGTAACGACTTTCCCGTACTTAAATCCGGTGCAGCGGTAGAATCGGCACAGTGGGTTCATGCGCTGAAGCCAATGACGTCTTTGGGTTCGGAAGCACGCCAAATCAGCTTGACGCGATGGCACGTTCGCAGCATCATGGTGCAGAAATACATGGCAACCCCGCCAAAGTCTATGGCGGGGTTAATCACGTATCACCGAGAGGGGTCCCTTTCGACTCATACAGTTAACTGCACGTTGGGAAGTATTAATATGTGAGAGCAGAAGCCTGCTCTGCTTTTGAACCCAGTCACCCTTCCAACGCTCACAAAGCAACACCGCCACCATGCCTCTGATCGCAAGCAACCCCACCAACCGCATCATCCTCGGATTGATGACCTTTGGGCCCAGTGAGTCAGACGGCGCGCGCATCACTGACCTCGAGACGTATAACAAGGCCCTCGATGTGTTTCAGTCCCGCGGCTACAACGAGGTCGATACGGCGCGTGTCTATGTTGGCAAGCAGCAGGAAGCCTTCACGCGTGAGGCCAAGTGGAAGGAAAGGGGCCTTACCCTGGCGACCAAGATTCAGTACCCCTCTGAACCGGGTTCCCATGCCGCCGACAAGGTGGTCGAGTCGCTGAAGACGAGCTTGAAGGAGCTCGGCACCGACTCCGTCGACGTGAGTGCTCTTGTTGTTACCACTGTCCGTCCCTAAGGCGGCACGCAATGAAACGATCGACTAACCCATGCAGATTCTCTACCTCCACGCCGCAGACCGCGCAACGCCCTTTGCCGAAACGCTCGAGGCGCTCGACAAGCTGCACAAGGCCGGCAAGTTTGTGCGCCTCGGCCTCAGCAACTTCACGGCATTTGAGGTCGCCGAGGTCGTGATGACGTGCAAGTACAACAACTGGGTGCGGCCTACCATCTACCAGGGCATGTACAACGTCATCACGCGCAGTCTCGATGCCGAGCTGATCCCCGCTTGCCGTCGCTACGGCCTTGACATCGTCGTCTACAACCCCATCGCCGGTGGCCTGTTCTCCGGCAAGATCAAGTCACGCGACATTGTGCCGACGGAAGGCCGCTTCTCGGACACGGCGGGGACGGGTGACAACTATCGCAAGCGGTACTTCCGCGACAGCACGTTCAAGGCGCTGCAGACGATCGAGCAGGCGATTGAGAAGCATGATCTCAGCATGATCGAGACGGCGCTGCGGTGGACGGTACACCACTCGCAGCTGAAGATCAAGGACGGCAATGACGGCATCCTTATCGGCATTTCGAGCGTAGCGCAGCTCGAGGACAACCTCAACCATCTCGAGAAGGGTCCCTTGCCTGAGGATGTCGTTCAGGCTCTGGAACAGGCATGGCTGGTGTCGAAGGCAGACACGACCAACTATTGGCACCTGGATCTGAAGTATACATATGACCCAAGGGAAGCTCTCTTTGGAGCTGGGGCCAAGTAGCGATGCAGGCGTAACAACGTACAAGGTAGCGACTGTTGTAGATCTCAATGAAGTGTGGCACCTGATTCCGAGCTGCAGCGTCTTCCGCAAGGAGAACTAGGAAACTGGACGCCGGCCAAGCAAATGTCAATCCGTGATGGATCCCATGCCTTGTCTCATTGCCCCAATCCTGGCCTAGCAGCACTTGGCCCCTGCCCGACACACCCGGCGAGCACCTATCATGGGACTTTAGGGGTCTGTCACCCCCCTGTGTCATCTGCGGATTTAGCACCCTCGACGCTGGAATACGTGCTTGGGACGTCTACCCCAGTTTTCGGCTGCAACGACAGATTCCACTTTCATCGGAAGCCCCATGTTGCCTTTTATCTGCAGGCATCCGAATCATCCACACCACCCCTTGGAACTCCTATCTTTCCCATCTCTGACCTTTTTGCTGCTAGTCATCCTCCTCTCTAGTGCTCTCTCTTTTTCTTCTTGCATGTGTCAGTAGCATGTCCCAGGCTCTCGTCGCTCTTTGAAGCCTGTCTCTTCGTTATCCACTCCTTTGCTGCATCCTCCCAAACCCCGAATTCGCCATCAGAACAAAAGAGAGACCCTCGTCCCCTGGTCCGCTGAAGCGCAATAGCCCCTCGCCGCATCCGATGCTGCAGACGACTTGGGTATCGAACCCGACCGAGACTTGTTCGCCATGACCAACGACCAACGACCTCCCCTTTCCAGGCCGACCGAGGGCCTCTCTGGCCTTCCGCTCCTTTTCGCCAAGGACGAGTCAGCCGACGCAGACAGACGCTCGATGGAATACGACGAAGCTCGCCGTGGGCGCGCCAGCCGCGGTTCGAGTCCACTGATGGCATCACGCAACCAGTCCTTCCACTCGCGCGCCTCGACTATGCGCAGCCACAGCCCCGACCTCGCGGCAGCATCCTCCGCCAAGACGAGATACACATTTGCCGCCTTCTTCCTCGTCCTCTGCCTCGTCGCCTTTGTCGTGCAGACCGAGTTGTCGGCCTACGTCCAGCAGGACCTCGGCTGGAACAAGGCCTACTGCATGCTCTACCTCACGCACGGCTCGTGGTCCCTGCTCTGGCCCGTCCAGCTGCTCTGCCTGCGCATCCAGCAATACAACGTGCCCTGGGCGACGTTTTGGCGCCGCCATGTCGGCCTGCTCCGCAGCACCTCCATCATGGTGCAGACCCAAGACCTCGACTGGTCACGCCCGTCGGCCGTCCCGCGGCCCTCGGCACTGGCCTATCTCGTGCGCACCACCGTCTTTGTGACCATGGCGCTGACCGTGGCCGGCCTCTCGTGGTACGTCGCCGTCGATCTGACGACGCCTTCCGATCTGACGGCCATCTACAACTGCTCGGCGTTTTTCGCCTACGTTTTTTCGGTGCCGCTTCTCAAGGAGCCCCTGCGTCTCGACAAGTCGATTGCCGTCATCGTGGCCATCATCGGCGTGCTCGTCGTCGCGTACGGCGACCAAAAGGCACCCGAGGCCGGCGCCGACGATGGCGGCGCCGCGGCCACCAAGGCCGCGGGCGAGCGGTTCCTCGGCAACATGGTCATCGGCGTGGGGTCCGTGCTCTACGGCCTCTACGAGGTGCTCTACAAGCGGTGGGCGTGCCCGCCCGAGGGCTGCGCGCCGCTGCGCGGCGTCGTCTTCGCCAACACGTTCGGCTCGTGCATCGGCCTCTTCACCCTCTGCGTGCTCTGGGTGCCGCTGCCGCTGCTCCACTGGACGGGGCTCGAGACGTTCGCGCTGCCGACGGGCCACACGGCGTGGATGCTCTTCTTCTCCGTCATTGCCAACGCCACGTTTGCCGGCTCGTTCCTCGTGCTCATCAGCCTGACGAGCCCCGTGCTGTCGAGCGTCGCGTCGCTGCTGACCATCTTCCTCGTCGCCCTCACCGACTGGATGGTCACGGGGGAGCCGCTCAGCGGCGCCGCCATGCTCGGCGGCTTCATGATCATGATTGCGTTTGGCATGCTCAGCTGGAGCACGTGGCGCGAGATGGCCGAGCACGAGGGCCACAAGCCTGTCGATATGACGGACAGCGGCGACGACAGCGACATGGAGCGCGAGGACTAGATACGGCAGGCAGGCAGGTAGGCGAGGGAAAGGACTGCATGGGTACATTCGGCGTTTGGTTGTGTTTATCGGTTGGAGTTTGAGGGATAGCTGCATGTCACAGAGGGCACTATGGGTCCGTTAGGTGCGGAAGGAGAGACAGCCCGCGCCATCATATTTGTGCATTGCATAGTACGGGGAACACTTCTGGGGCCGTGAGAGGCATCCGGATCATAGACATACATGACTTGCGTGCGTACAGCCGTTTGTGGCTGTGCTGGAACCACGGTGGGTTATTATTCGGTCCAATACCATGATCATCATCACATACAATCGAGAGTCAAGTTTGTTGTCTTGTGAAATGACTGCCTGGACATCATCCCGACGGCACATGAGCACCTGACAGGACAGGTTCGAAGTTGTATTGACATGTCCCAGGATAACAACACAAAAGGGTATCGATTGCACCAAAAAGAAAGAAGCGAAGAAAAAAAATCGCGCCAGAGACAGGTGCTACGCATTCATCGGCTGTGGATTGTTTCCCACCGTCTTGTAGAGCTCGCGCAGCTCAAAGGCGTCGTGGCCCCCCTCGGGCACCTCGCCGATGACGCGCGCGGGCTGGCCGCCGACGATGCTGAAGCTCGGGATGACCATGTTGGGCGGCACGACGCTGCCCTCGAGGACGCGGACGTAGTCCTTGATGATGGCAAACTCGCCAATGACGGCGCCGTGGCCAATGTAGACGTGGCTGCCCACGGTCGCGGCCTGCACGACGGTGCCCTGGCCGACGAAGACGTGGTCGCCGAGGCGGAGAGGCATGTATGTGAAGGCGCTAAGGATCGAGTCAGCCGGTCGTCCGTCCGTCTCTTTCGTTTTCTTCTTTC